TGCCTAACTGCACAGAGCTTTTGTACAAATTACAGGTAATTCTCTGTCTTCTTTTGCTCTTGAAGAGGAAATCCTTCCTCATGGTCTTTTGATGAACTTAAATTAAATGGAATGAATTTAGAACACTTAGCATTGGGCCAGGATCACACTAGATACTCAGTAAAGGTTAATTCCTTTCCCCATTTCAGCCTAATTAATTTTTTTTTAACATCAACAACACAAACAACGTAACTATCTGGCATCCAGTTGACAATTTTCTCTTTAAAAGATCAGATTGTCTGAAAAACAGTAACAAAAGGTACAGTGTCCTAGAATCTTTCCTTGCATATTTTGTATATTAACCACTGTAAGCTTTTTAAGAGGATAAAAGTTTATGCTACTCCATGAAATAGAGAATTAAACATTTATGTAGTTGTTTAAAAAAATGTTTTCCACACAAACAAAAATTAAAAGAGTTCATGACCACTAAGCCAGCCCTGCAAGAAATTTTAAGGGGGACACTTGGAGTGGAGAAAAAAACAAAATGAAACAAAAGACGAAAGCAACAAAGACTAGAAAGGACCAGAGAACATCACCACCGGAAATACCAACTCTACAGGAAACACAATGTCACTAAATTCATACCTGTCAGTAATCACTCTGAATGTAAATGGACTAAGTACTACAATCAAAAGACATAGCATATCAGCATAGATTTAAAATTTTAAAAAAACAAGATCCATCTATATGCTGCCTACAAGAGACTCTCTTGAGACCTAAAGACACCTGCAGATTGAAAGTGAGGAGATGGAGAACCATCTATCATACTGATGGACATCAAAAGAAAGCTAAAGTACCCATACTTATATCAGACAAACCACATTTTGAAACCAAGACTGTAACAAGAAATAAAGAAGGGCATTGTATCATAATTAAAGGGTCTATCCATCAAAAATTGTAAATGTTTATGCCCCCAACTTGGAACACCCAAATATATAAGTCAATTAATCACACACAAAGAAATTCATTGATAATAATACCATAATAGTAGGGGACTTTAACCTACAGCAATGAACAGATCAAGAACCAAGCAGGGATGTCTACTTTCACCGCTGTTGTTCAACATAGTACTGTAAATCCAAGCCTCAGCAATCAGACAACAAAAAGAAATAAAAGGCTTACAAATTAGCAAGGAAGAAGTCAAACTTTCACTCTTTGCAGACAATGTGATCCTCTACGTGGAAAACCCAAAAGACTCCACCCAAAAACTGCTAGAAATAATACATGGATTCAGCAAAGTCATAGGATATAAATTCAATGTACAGAATCTGTTGCATTTCCATACACCAATAATGAAGCAGCAGAAAGAGAAATCAAGGAATCGATCCCATTTATAATTGCATCAAAAAGCATAAGATAACAGGAATAAATCTAACAGAAGAGGTAAAAGATCTGTATGCTGAAAACTATAGAATGCTTATGAAAGAAATTGATGATGACATAAAGAGATGGAAGAACCTTCCATGCTCATGAAGTTGAAGAACAAATATTGTTAAAATGTCCATACTACCCAAAGCAATCTACATATTCAGTGCAATCCCTATCAAAATAACACCAGCATTTTTCACAGACTTAGAACAAACAATTCTAAAATTTGTATGGAACCAGAAAAGACCCCAAATAGACAAATACGGTTGAAAACAAAACCAAAGCTGGTGGCATCACAATTTTAACTGTATTTATTTAACTGGACTTTAAGCTGTATTACAAAGCTGTAATCATCAAGACAGTATGGTATTGGCACAAAAACAAACACAGACATTGATTGAACATAATAAAGATCCCAGAAACAGGCCCACTAATGTATGGCCAACTAATCTTCGAAAACGCAGGAAAGAATATCCAATGGAAAAAAGTCTTTTCAGCAAATGGTGTTGGGAGAACTGAACGACAACATGCAGAAGTATAAGACTCGACCACCTTTCTTACACCATACACAAAAATAAACTCAAAATAAATGACATACCTAAATGTCTTTCCTAGACAAACCATCAAAATCCTAGAGAAGAAAACAGACAGCAACTTCTTTGACCTTGGCTACAGCAACTTTTTACTAGACATGTCTCTGGAGGCAAGGGAAACCAAAGCAAAAATGAACTACTGGGACCTTATCAAGATAAAAATCTTCTGCACAGTGAAGGAAACAATCAACAAAACTAAACAGCAACCAATGGAAATAGGAGAAAATATTTGCAAATGATATAAATGATAAAAGGTTAGTATCCAAAATATATAAAGAACTTATCAAACTCAACAGCTAAAAAAAAAATAATCCAGTGAAAACATGGTCAGAAGACATGATTAGACCTCTAGGCTTCTTTTCTTTTCTTTTCTTTTCTTTTCTTTTCTTTTCTTTTCTTTT